CTGGAGCACACACCATCCCCAACATCGAGGCTCCCTGGAAACTTCTGGTACGTTACTACGGCACTAGCCAGACCTAATTCTGTTAGGATATGCGGGGACATGCCATGGAGTTCAGTATATCTAGTTAAACGGCAGACGTGTGTGTGTGCCGTCTTTATAAAGGTTACAAGACCACCTTGGGTCTACTACCAATCCCAGGCCAGGTAGAGGGCTCAAAGCTATGCTACCGGACTCCAAACACCACTCTAGGTCTGGTCACTTACATGGGAACTGCAAGGATTCTGATAAATGCCTCTTTCCCTCCCATACAGGAAAGATTTCATGGCTCCGGAGAGAAAAAAAAAATGTAAACGTATAACATAAATACACAAAAGCCCAGTCAAAACCATGAATATCAGTATGAAATGCATTTCACAACACAGTAAAATTACATCACTGTAAATGCAATGAAATTTCAGAGATCCTGGCTATTGACAGGGTTGCAGGCCAATATTAATTCATAATATTGTTATTGATGAATTATTTTTTATAACACATTTCAGCAACACACTAAAACACCAGATTTCCTGCACACACTGTGATGAGGCATTATTATGCTCACATGTCCATATTCTTGTCTTATGTCTGGTTCCTCAGGCCACCCAATGAAATTGTCATGCTCCAACTGTTCCGATCCTCCTGTGTGCCACGCCCCCTCATTTACCTCGTGTGGAATCCCCTTGTTATTTGTTTCTAGTTTTGTTCATTGATTCTGTGTATTTAAGCGGGTTTCTGTGAGTGATTCCCCAGTCCGGTCATTGACGTCAGTCCTGCTTGTTGCTCCATGTTCCCAATTGTGTTCACCCTGAATAAATCCTACGTTTCCCTGACTCCCTGGACTCCTGCTCCTGTTTCCCCGCTCCGTGCCAGCGTGTTCAACAGCAATGTTCAGTGTTGGGATGAATCCAGTCATTCATCTTGATTATTCTTGTTCAGCTTTCCATGTATTATAGTCTTCTCAAAATATACTCAAAATTGCATTTATTGATGCCGCAAGACATTGATACGCACTCTGCCCTCCTTTTTCACTGTTCGAGCTTCTAGAAAGAGTCACAGGGAATAGCATATTCCGAATGCATTCTTTGTTCTTGGAGAAGTGTCACCTTTGAAGATGAGAGATTGTGAAATGAGCAGGAAAGGTACAAAGAAACTAGTACTATGCAAAAATGTAGGATTCAGAAGTAGAATACTAAGAAATCTGACAATTAAACCACAAAAATGTTATTACCAGCTACATATTAATGAAGAGGGTTAGCCTAGATCAAAGTAAGGACAAATCAACAGTCTCCCTCAACTTTGCAAGTTCGGTGTAACTAAACCTAGTTCTTTCTTGCGAGCGGTTTTATTTTGTGGGGAGATGGATCAGACACACTCAAGATCCCCGACACCACTGAGCGTGGTGCTCACGACATGCTTAATTATTCATGAGTCGGCTGGAAATTCTCTTACAGATCTATGGTCACATCTCTGTGACCTGAGGTTGTATAATCTGTGGGGGGTGGGGTACTTTAAAGAGGAAGGAAAAAAATAAATCAATAAATCAACTCTAGAGAACATCAGTGCAGAAGCTCGTAAAAAAAAAAAAAAAAAAAAAAAAAGACCTTCACAAATGAAAGCCAGAACAGTCTTTGTCATGTAGACAGATTTAAACCAGGTCATTGGCTTAATTCTGTCATGAAGTTACAGCTCGATTGGAGCAGGCAGAACAAAGGATGACATGCTGCATTAGCTTAAAATGTGACCGTTATCTGTTTAATAATGAGGCATGTCTACACTGAAATACAGATTTTTTTTTCCCCCCAGATTAATTTCATCCTTTACTTGCATTGCTGAGATGTTATCAGGTGGACCTAGAAACCACAGACATGTCCCTTCACTGTGCCCAGCTCTGGACACTTCACTGTGTGCCTTCTTCACCAGCTACTCACATGGAACGTCAGGTGACATTCAGCTCAGGGACTGGAGTGCTTTTCCACTGCACCAAGCACTGTACTTTTGGTACTTTTGCTTTTCCATTGACTTTCGGTCGAGTACCTGCACCGAAAGTTCCAGTACCAAAAGTGCCAAACCAGCTGGGGAACTTCTTTGGTACTTTGGGTGGGACTTTCTTTGTTGATTGGTTATGCAAATTGCCTGCCGCTGAAACACAATACAAATAGCGCCTTGAAAAGAATTGCAAACTCAGAAAACAATGATAAATGAAGTAAAAAAAAAAATCTGGTCGGGAGAAGAGATAAACAAAAAGATCAGGATAACATGACAGGAAAGTGTCTGGGACACGTTTGACCACGTATCTTTTGTACTGTAATGGATATTATTGTTACAATTGTTATCATTGTAACAAGGACATTATGGGGCAGTAACAAAATCTGAACACAATTGGTCAGCTGGGCACCTTGGAGACGCCTGATAGACACAGATGTAAACAGCGATGTGTCTCGGCCTTCGACTTACGATCCAGTCGCCCAAGACACATTTTAAAGCCAAATGTAAACAGGGCCTAAGACTCCAAGATCTTTAAGCAGTGTTGGGACTCTGACAGCTCTTATCTGTTGAATCTACAGTTAACTCAACCTGTAGCCCTTTCCCAGTATTAACCGTATTAACAGCTGTGCATGTAAATGTACTGAATAAGTCGAGCTACAGTTATAGCTTGACTACGCCATTTAAATCTGACTACTGTCCTTCTCCCAATAAACATGCAAGGGAGGGGAATCGATTTATTGCATGATGTATGTCCGACTCCACTACAATAGGTGGTGATATGGCTTCTTTCAGCTTTTTAGTTTTGGACTTTTTCTGGATGACCTATTACGCCACAGACGTAAAAAATTTATTTCATAATAATGGATACATGGACAAATGAAGTGGCACAAGCTTTGATTGCGATCTGGTCAGAAGAGCAGATACAACACGATCAAGATAGCATAATAAATAAAATATTTTGTATGATATACTATGACAGCACAGCATTGGAATTTTTTTCAAATATTGCAATGTGATTTTGTTGTAGTAAATATTGGAGTATTTATGGAACAAAAAAAAATCTCACTAAACCGTCAAGGAGTGATTTAAACAGCAAGGATGAAAATGACTGTCAGAGAACGAATGCAGTGCTCACACAAAGGCAGAGGAGGTAAACTATACACTGATTTTTAAACATATACTAGATGATCTTAAAAATTAATAATCATTAAAATGGAAAAACTTGCTAGGTTTTTGTTTTCCTATGACAGAGCAACAATGTATTAGCGAGACAAACTCCCTGCATTATAATATCCGTACCAAACTGAAAAAAGGCCATTCATACTTCCGTTTATGCACATCCACTTTGACCTTACAGCATTTACTTTTTCTCCAATCAGGAAGTTATGGCATCTGAATAACTCACATCCTGTAATAGCCATGCAACACACACCTCCCATTCTTTCTTTATTAGCCTCTCAAGGTCCAGCTGCACACAAAACACCAGCTTCTCATTCACACCATACAAGTTTGAGAGGGCTTAGAGCAGCCTAAGGTCCATCCAAATGTTTTCTGTAGCCACTTGTGCTATTCAGGGTCATGGGGATCTGGTGCCTATGAGCACAAGGCAGAGAACAACCCAGGATGAGCTGCCAACTGCTAACTGAGGGCACACACACCGTTCACACACACATTCACACCTACAGACAATCTGGTAACTCCAATTAGCCTCAGCATGTTTGTGGACTGTGTGTGTGTGTGTGTGTGGGGGGGGGGAAGAGACAGGTAACCACTGCAACACCGCACCACCCAATCCATAGTCTATCATACCATCTATTTAGTAAACTACACAGAATTTAAGCCAAACTCTTAAATATGAAGAGAATATTATTTTTCTTCACTAAATGTACCATCATCCTGATGCTCTCAGGGTCATTTAGTGAAGAAAAATAATAAGTAGCATAATTAGTTTGATATGAATTACCAAGATATAGCTGGCGAAACCAACGGTCTAATTAAATGACCATTAGTTCTCACGCAAAAGCTGCACATGAAATGAATATGTACAAATGATTTCTTTGAGTTTATTTTTCCCTTTGAATTGCCAATTACTTATAGGTAAATTTCATGCATTGCTATGGTTTCAAACATACGAGACCAATGGAGTTCAATTAATTTATAAGAGTTGAGCACGCAACGGAAGTTTACGATACAAAAGCGCACTTGTGTGATGTGTAATTTTTAATCAGAGTTTAACGATATCTATTACTGAAAGTCAAGTGCTACACTGTACAGTTACTCAGGCACGATCATGCTTTATACTTATTACGCCGCACTAGAATAAAGTAGCTGAGTGCGGTACACATGAAAGAGTTGCTCCGTCTTTATTTTAAAAGTGTCCATGTTATGGGAGAGACTTGCAGCAGGTGCGTGAACCTTTCCTCGCTGCCATTGGTACCTCCCCAAGTCCGAGCGATTCGGGCTGCAGACCCCCCATGAGGAATATTTAATATGGAGCTATTTAATTATTTCATTAACGCAATATTTTCACTTCAAAGGACTCGATGTAAAGCTGGACATTGGAACAGCCGAACCCGAACCGTATGGGAGATCGCATTGTGGTCCCACGGGGCGAGAGGATAGACACAGTGTTCCACAACTAGATATCGCATTGTTATCTAGCAAGCCAGCTAAATCCACGGCACCCACACTGTGTCACCATTTAATGGGGGGGGGGAGATATGCATTCGCTTATTCAAGACACGCAGGCAGTGGAAATGTACGAGAGTAGCCAGGCAATCCTAAGGACGATGAGGGGAACTCCAGCGGACCCCTGCAATCTCTCTTTTCTTGGCACAGTGGGGAAAAAAAAAACTCAAATCACCATGACAATTGCCAAGCGTCTGCACAAAGGTGCCTCTCCGCATTCATCAGAAACGCGGCCAAAAGCACCAGCAGCGTACACGGCGAAACCAACACGATCTGTATTTCCCTACCTTGTGCCCTGCTCTCGCCTGGACCCAGGGACGGAGCGGACCGTGTAGTTGTCGGTCTGATCAGCGGATTCCCCCTCCAAGGCGTTTCGCACGCACCCCGGGGTGTCTTATAACTGGATTGTGGGGCTCTTGATGGGAGAACCTGTAGGAAAAACAAATATGATTATAGTTCTGATACTTCTGCAGTATAAAATTGGCCAAAAAACATTCTGACAACAATAGCAACTTTATTATTAATAGTAATTAGTTTTAAAATTGCACGATCGACAATAGGATTGAAGTTATATGCATCACTCTGAAGCTGTATACCAACTACGCTCTTTTACTCAGAAATATTAACTCTTGGAGTTTGCAGTCAATGTGCAAGCGAATATATGCAAGCGATACCTGTCAGTTTTGTGCAAACGTTTTAGATTCGTTAACGAAGATGCGTCAGTATCGCACCAAACTGCAACGCGGTTTGCTGGATCTCTAATCCCTGTTTTCAGATTGTGGATTAACAACAGAATGAACTATTTTCAGGTGGGCATTTTCTTCTCCATTATAACAGGGAGCATTTAGAAAAAGATTGAAAAATACAAAGATTTCCTTGATGAATTCAAACGCGAAAATTATTTAGATAATGGGTGTAAACGACTGTACTGGATAAAACAGACTTAAAATATAATGTAAATTGTTTTCCTCTAATAAACCAGTGCCTACCGATTGCCTATCAGTTCACCCCTCCTGAAATCCACGTTAAACACCACCAACACAACCTAGACACCAAATACGACTAAAGTCCCGCCCAACACCGTTACATTCGGGCACACTTTCACCTTGATTGGTCAGATTGCGCTGCCAACCAAACCATATATCAAATCAACCCAATCCTAGTCTTAAAAAAGCTGCCCGTCTCAACACGATCAGTTGTATTTATACTCCCGTATCTGAAAAAATTAATTTTGTTTCTGTTGTAGTCGCCTCTAAAGGTCATCTGGAAAATATTCAACAGGTCCGAAGAGGATCACCATAAAAATAATACTGTAAAGTATACCTAAATGTAAATATTGTATTAATTTCGTACAATAAATTATCTACGGCGCGGTTGGGATTTATAACTTCAGTAATCGATACATCGTTGAGATTCGCCCCTCTTAATGTTGACAACTTGCCGTACACACTTTGCCCCATCAATTTCACAATGTGACAACGTTAGAAGCCCTCCCTTAATAATATTAACAGGGCGGGGACTACAGGGCTGCCTATTATTTATCGACCAATTACGTCTCTGATTACTGCAGTATAAAAACACCAGGTTATAAACTTTAATTGGCCATTCAGTTAACCCAACTGACTGATCATTAGTGACAGTTGGGTGTGTCAGTAATATAAATATATATCCAATGTACCACATGAACCAAAGACGTTATACAGTTATAGTTTTATGTACCGTACCACCATTTAGAAAGCGAGCGTAGAGTGTTAGCTTTCTGGCCAATCATGTGACGTGTTACTGGAGCGTCAGGGAGACAAGGTTATAAACTGGCGAGGGGTAGATGGTCAAACTACTGATCTTTAGCAGCAGTTGGACTCGTGAGTAATGTTAATGCAAACTTAATGCAATGCAGCTTTCAATTACGAGAGCACACTCAGTGGAGGGTCATGTCTGTATTAATGGAATTGTAAGCCTTACCGAGTTAGCCGGCTCGGCTAGACGTTAGCTAGTGCTGCTGGGTAGCCGCGTTATCCAGCTAGTTACACAGAAGCCGGCAGAAGTTTGGTTAGTGTCTAAATTCACACTTGATGTTCAAAGTGATGATTTAATATGCTTCTTAAATCAGCTGCTATCGGGTTGTTTTTTTGCGTCTGTTGTGTAATGGCTGGATAATACGGTAGCTATCGAGTTGCTAACGCTGCACCTTTGGTAGCGTTGCCATAAAGTACTTGCAATAACCTAAACATAAATAAACACGCCTTTGCGATTTACTGTCTGTTTTAACTTTGTTTTTTGGCGCTAGGCTGATTTGTTTGAGTGACAATACTGTGGTTCCCTCGGGCTTGTGGTTATGCTTTTTAAATGATCACGGAGGAAGTTTTAAAGACAAGACTTCATGTATTAATAGGAAGGACATAAACGTTTATTGATGTCTACTCGTCTCTAAGAGCTTCAGGAACAACTATATATCGTTATTGTCAACATAAATGATTGTTCGCCTTAAATGATGGTATATAAAGCCGCAATTCCAACGTCTAATTACTTCATAATTAAGTTGCGAGAATAACATAAACTGGGTTGTACATCACGGTTGCAAAGGGTTTAAAAGCCTTAACAGCTGTCTATTGTGCACCTGTTCCGTAATCGGATTGCTAGCCTGCTTTTCAAAGCAATGCATTTATAAAGTGAAGTGGCTGTTTTTTTTTTTTAAGTTACGAGCCCCAGTTCTTTTTAAGAGGTACAGAGTGATCCATTTCATCAGATAAGATAAGAATGGGTCGCGAGTCCGATTTTATGTGACAGCAATCAGTCTTGCACAACTTCCCGCGAGCTCTTTCCCAATCCAAGTCTTTACCTGTCTTTTCTGTGCCAGTGCTAGCTGCTGTAAGGTCCCCATGGGAAAACGTTTGGTTGGTTAAGGAGTGCTTTAAAATCCAGCTGGTGTTCTTTCTGACACTGGGCTGGTGCAGTGGCCGAGTTCGATGTCCCCTTCAGAGGGCTGTGATGGCTTTATTTGGGGACAGAAGTAAAATCATTTCCTGGCTGGGTTTGGAGCAGTCTAAGCTGTACACTCCACATGGGTTGGTGTTAAAAGTAATGGACTTCCCCCAACTGCACAGCCACCCAGAGTTTTGATGTCTTGACATCAATCCTGTCAGCATCAGAGAGGACATTAATGCTTTCAAGTTGAATTTGTGATTTATTTCCCTCAAAATGTTCTTTTTAGACATGTGGCTTGTTTCTTGGTCTTTCAGCAGCATAGTGCCTTTGTTAAAAGGGAATTCCACTGTTATTAATAATGAACACTTTGTCTCGTGTCCTGTTGCAGAAATTTGCACCCAAGAAAGCTTCAGTAGTTTATGCAAGTAATAAAATTAGCTTTATCATGTTTTATTCTGCAGTGGATTGATTTGTTGTTACTAGCCTGTTTCTAGGAACTCCCAGTGTGCATCTTGAAGTCTAGACTGGGGCCTCTTGGGGTCTAATTAAAGGCTGACCTGCCTTTAGGTGACAATAGCCGGATACAAAAATAGCTTGAGTAAAGGCAGTCAGGAAATCTTGTGGCAAGTTCAGCTTGTAATCGGGAAATACTGATTTACAGAACACATATTTTACTCCCCATGATGCCCCAGTACCTACGCAATGATGTCATATGGTGAACAATGGTTTCAATTGATACAATTTCCTCTGGATATGTAGGACACAGTTAGGTGACGAGGCAAATAACCTATAAGTGGAGTTTCACTTTAATTTGTTGGGTGCACTTTATTGCAAATTACTTTTTGGAAAGGCCTTAATTAGGATGTTCTGCCTGAAACATTTTTATGCCCTTTTAATGTATAAGCATAAACTGCAAATGTCTCTGCCATAACTGAAGGACTGCAATACCACTCTGCTTTAACAGGAGCCTGTTGTTGCCTTAAGATATCCTCCTGTTGGGTCGACAGAGTACCAGCTCTGTACTTTATCACACAACCCCCCACCCCCCGTCAATTAGCGGCCAGGCTTCCTTGGGCTTGGGTCGCCACACTGACATAGGTGCGGAGCTGCTTCATGACGGCTCGTCATCCCTGAAGCATGTCCAACCTGACCAGGTGCCTTTCCATAACCCAGAGCGTGATTGGACCCATCTCTCAGTCGTTAGCTGAGTATATCGTAGGGTTGTGTGCAAATTAAATCGGGGGATTAAAATCCAGAAAGATGGTGATGTGTGGAATGAAAATCGGCTGATTTGAATTTGTTCCTTTTGATGAAAACGCCAAGTGTATTATGTCCCAGTTTGTATTCATTGTGTGTCACAGCACATAGCGGGCCAGGCTGAAGCCTTCATTTCATTTAGGTCATGCCTTGTAGCACTCTGTTCATGTCTCATTATTAAACCAAAATTTAGAAAAATGGATATTGTAGCTACACTAAAGCTCAACCAGTTGCATATTCAATCTGTTTTATATAGTAATGTGGCAGATTTTGGTTGGTTCTGTGGCATTCATGTATTTTGAGACTGTTCAGATTTTCATAATGCTCTTTCAAAAGGATTTATAGCCTTTCCTTATATTAAACTGATGTATTTTTTCCCCTTAGGTTCTGCTTATGGCTGTGTTTCCTAATGCACGTTAATTTCTCAGTGTTCTGTGTGTTAATAAATGCTGGAGCACTGAGGACCTGGCAGCTGGGCCTGACATTCTTGCTGCATTTGGATAGTCTTTGAGTTTGTGCCATTAAGAGATGTATGAATTGTCTTCTCAGGTCACCGTTGTCAGGGGAATTGGTAACTGCAACGTCCGTGTTCCCGCAGACTCTGTTGGCATGGTCCTGTGGAAGCAGTGAGTGTGACCCCCCACGCTGCCCAGCACCATATGAGACAGTGCCCCAACCGACCCCACCCCCCCATCCGTGGAGACTACCCCATGTGCATCATCTTCTTCAAGTTCGATGCCCGTCCTGCATCAAATGCTTATAGGTATGGTATTTGCAGTGGCCGTGTGCTGGTGTAGATGAGCTGTTCTCACCCGAAGGAGGGTAATTGTCTGGTTGGAGGTGGTGATTTGAGGATTACTGTTTGAGACAGCGCCAGGGCAAACAGTCACTTACACAGTACATAATGAAAATGGCAATGAAATGGCTCCATTCACAAGTCTGACTGGTAGATATCAGTGGTAGGTCTGCCTGAATAGACCATATGCCTCACTGTCAGGCGTAAATGTGTCATGTTTATTCTCTTCCGTGGGAAAGGCAGTGGGCGTGTTGGCCTCATGCTGGCACCTTCAAAGGGAAGATGCTTTGTATCAATTAGCCTTTGAAGTTACTGGCCCCCTCGCTTGTGGTTGTTTTTAATGATAATCAGGCTCTGAGGGTGACTGCGATTCTCTGTGGTCACGGTCACTGTCCTGAGGTGTGGGCAAGTTTTCCCTAGGTCTGCGTGCCACAAAACCCCATCCTCGTCTAACCACCTGACCTCCCCGCTGTTCCTCCATTCCACTTCATCCCATTGCACACCCCCCATTTTGTGTGTAAGAGGATGTTATCTTGCAGGCACCATGCAGTGGCTGTTTTGTCATGCAGTTTGGGAACTCGCTGTAGGTAGAGATGTGTGTTTATTCTCTTGCTTGCCATTGGGACTTTTGGATTCCTTAGGAGGAACAGAGACCTAAGTGTGAATCTGGGGTAAGTGAGGGTCAGCGGGGGGGTCATGAGGCTGCTGTCCTCCTGGTGTGCAGTGCTGAGTCATAAGTGACCATCTCACTCAGCCTGCAGTGACTGCAGACCAGTGGCTGTGAAAGAGGGTGCAGGTAAGGGGCCTGGGGCAGGCCTCGAGGGTTGCCATGGTGACACTCTGTGGTTGGTCGGGTTCAACTGTCATGCAGTGTTATGCTGTGTTCCATTTACCTCTGAGGTCAGAACTTGGAACTGGGAATGATGTCACACCCACACACACATACGTGTTCCAATACAAGAAGTTGAAAATCCACTTTGCAAAACCAGGGACCTGTTTCAGAAAGCAAGATTTCTTGTTTAGCTGGGTAACTTGTTGGACTTAAGGTACCTCAGTTTAAATGGCCTTTATTTACATTTAGCCTCGACTACCTTAAATCCGACAAACTATCCAACTACAAAAGAAATCCAATTCAAGACCGGTTAATTGTTAGCCATTATTAGCAATTTCAGTTGATATGGTCAAAATACCATGTAATGTGTTAACTCCATAGCAACACATCCACAGATAGCAGTTGGACAGTACTGTGTGTACGACCGATTTAACGAGCCACAATAAATGGTATAAAACTACAGCTTTAACTTCTGTTGATAAAGGGCGCAGCTATCTTGGATTCTGGGGTTATGTCTATTTCCTCCAAGTTGACAAGTCGGAATTCCGACTTCATGGGGCGTTTCCGAGTTCAAGTGGAACGCAGCATTAAACCCTAAAGGTTTTGTTTGCCTTCACCATGTTCCCCAACAGCCACTGCACCTTTCTTCTGGACATCCTGCGTTTGCTTCCCTAGGTACAGCTTGTGGGTCTTACAGCGGTGCCTCAGTTTCTGCATTTCTCCAGTCGGAAGGCAGGGCTATGATGCCCTGGGGGTTACCAGCCTCTGGACGTCCACTGTGCTGCGGTTAATCTCGCCTCCCTTACCCGCTATTTGGCCAACGCATTTGCAGCCATTAGCCAGTTCATTATTGTAATGAGGAACAGCCCGGAACAAGGGGGAGAGGACACACAGGGTATGATTGTGTGTGGGGGGGTGAATGAATGGTCTGCTGTAGCTGTGCTTAACAGGAGTGTGATCTCTAAAAACCCATCAGATTTCCTGGGGGGTGGCATGAATGTTCTGCTCTAGCTGCGTTTAATGGGAGGTGTGGGCTGAGCTGTTGGTCTGTCTCCTGCACTTGTCCTTTGTATCTCTGGCCATATCAACCATTTGATTTGAAGTTAAGGCAGGATGTACATAAGCATATGTGTACATTTCAACTGCCTTTGAACGCGCCCCCCAATAACAAGCAAGTCTTTAGAGGTACAGTCTCATAACCTGAAAGTCCCAAAACAGTCTGTTGTACCTTTGAGAATTCTGGGTTCATTACCCCAGAGAAACTTGGGCCATGACTGATGACGTGCGGTAAACTGACTGGTTGTGAGTTCTGAAGCCTGAGTCCAGCCCTCACCTCAGAGTGGGGATGCTGCCAGTCCTTCTTTTGGCAAGAACCTTCAGGAATCTGCCTTTATAGAGTGGGGCTCATCTCTCCCTCTGACTCTCTGCCTGCCTCCATCCCGGTCCATCCTACGTTTCAGGCTCATTCTAGCTGCCAACAGGGATGAGGTCTACAGCAGGCTGTCCAAGAGCGCCCACTTCTGGGGAGACGGTGGTGAGATTCTCAGTGGTAAGTGCATATTATTGCCTTTCACTTCACCTTGTAGGCTTTTACCGGTCCAGAGGAAGCCTTTCCATAGTCAGTGTCTGCGGGTTTATCACCAGCTCATCTGGAGCCCAGCTGCAGCAGTGTTTTAAATCTGTTTCCTAATTTTTTCCTCCTGTGTTCATTGGATTGCTTCATTTACATGCTTATACTTGAGAAACTAAACCGCATTCCTTTGGGAATGCCACTTTCCTCATTAGGAAGCACGACATGGGTGCCTGGCTAACCGGTAATCGTTGTGGGGGCTCATGTCACTGTGCCTTTAATTGACCAGCGTGGCCCTTTTCTCTCTCCTGGTACCAATCGATTGGCCCTGTTCCCCTGCATGTTTGTCAGGAGGCCCAGTCCGTACTGGCTTTGCTGCGTGTGATTCACACACACGCACCTCAGTCATTAACACCATGAAGCCTCCTTCACTTCGTGTTTGTGAACCGTAAATGATCACTTCAGTCTCCTGGCAGACCTTTGATTGACTGCTTAATTAGATCCTTGTTTTGGTCTGTTTAATAGTGAGTGTTTTGCCATGCCTTCTGGAAATAACTGTCATAATTCAGTGTTGTGTACAAACAAAGCACTAATTAAATAATTAAGGGGGGGCGGTACGGAGACCATCCTGGCCGTGTACCATGTCAGACTGTGGTGTCTGGCTGCTCTCTTCCGATGCTGGGGGAGGGAGAGTGTCTCGAGTAAGATGTCCGTAATTTCAGCAGCCCCTGCTGCTATGACTCCCACCCTCTCGGGTGTGCTGCTCATGGGGGCCGCATTGCTGCTCATGGGGGCCGCATTGCTGCTCATGGGGGCCGCATTGCTGCTCATCGAGGCCGCATTGCCACTATGAGCTGGGCTAGTTTGCTCAGCCTGGCTGCACATTTATCCATGAAAGAAAAGGTACAGACTTTTGTCTGGTGAGCTTGGTTCTCATTGACATTTATGGATTTGGTTTTTAAGGGCTTTAATTATTGCTTTTAATTGGGTATAATTTAACAATGTTGTATAGTTTACTTTTATTGATCTGGTTAGAAGGTGTAAAGCTTGCTGCAACTGAATGTCGTTAAATGTCTGGATATGCAGATTTTTATTGACTCCAAGTGGTGGATGTATTATGCTGCTTGGTTACGCATTAAAGGCACAGGCAGCTTGATTAACAGTTGATTTAATTAGGGAGGAGATGGGTTGGACTGAACTTTGGCGAGATTTCAGGCATTGAAATGGCTTTCTGTTCAGAGCGAATTTTGCTTTAGTTTAATCCTCATTAATTGTTCACAGGGCTGTGTGCTACTGGAGGTAATGGCAAAGCTGGGAGTTTGGGCCTTACAGAGGTGGCTGATGTGTGTGTCCCTGCAGTCAGGAGATTTAGTCTCGATTGTCTGTTTTTGAAGCATTTCTCCAGGTCTGAGGGGAAAAAAGCACCCCTGTCGAGTTGATTTACACCCCCAGTAGCTTCTGAGTTAGTCTTCTTCAAATTATAGCTTGAAGTGATGAGGGGTGACTGAGCGAGACAAACTAGCTGCCCCCCCCCCCAATTTGATGTCTAAACATTAAACGGGCCAGGTACCTGCACCATAATGAGTGATGAGCTCACATCGGTTCCCTGGGTCCATCAGCACAAGCCCAAGTGACACTGTCCACACAGCCGGGTCCCTGTTCACGGTCTGTGCTCTGTGCTGTGTGACAGGGTTAGACCTGGAGGAGGGTAAGGAGGGCGGCTCCTGGCTGGGCATCAGCAGACGGGGCAGGCTGGCGGCCCTCACCAACTACATGGATGCCAGGCCCAATCCGGACCGCCAGGGAAGAGGTGAGGGGGAGATCGCCTTGGGGGTCCACTTTGCCAGAATGTAGCTGGTTGAGAGCAGATTAGCACGTCAGGAATGTATAGAAAGAGCCAGGGAAATGAACACACACAGGGCAGAAGCCAGTCTGTCAGGTGTATGGGGCATAGGAGAGAGCGGGCATCCGTGATCGACACTGGCTGTAAGACGCCTGACTTCTCTGACAGCTGTCCATCGTTCCTGAAAGCATGGCTTTGTTCCCCTGCTCCTTTCACGTACATCAAGCATTTTATCTCTGTTCTCTGCCTTGACGGCTCCATGCTTGCATTTCTTGGTTTATATCGCCCTTGTAAATGCTGTATAGTCCATTGAATGCCAACACCCAAGGGGGATTGTGTTTTTTGCAGCATGTTTTTGCTGTGATAGTCTTTACTGTGTTTATGGAGACTGTCACGGAGTGGAGGAACCATTTACTGCAGACGAGCCAAGCGTGGATTCCCTGGCCTTTCAAAGGGCGAGCAGTGAGTCCAGAAAAACATCTGAGAAGAGCGGAACAGACATAAAGTCCTCAGTGCGGGGGAGGGGGGTGCTGTTTGCTCTGATGTGTTTTTGAACTGTTTGTAATAAATGTTTCACTTTTTAGTTCATCTCAAATGCAGGATCATCAGAACTTATGAATATTTTTCTCACTGTCAAATATAATCCAAAGATTTATATTTAGGTTGTTGAAGGTTTCATTCTGTTCCAAATATAGGAGACTTTAAAAAAAAACCTTACACTTTCACTTTTCCCTGACTTTTTGACAGTTTACCCACATTGATTCAAGATTAATAGGGTGTCTTCATCGAAACAGTCCCACATTCTGCCACATAAATTGTGGTTTTGACATTCAGCCAGCCATCAAATCTGTCACTAGAGGAAATAGAAATGTAAATAGCATCTCATAGGCCAAAAACCAAATTTAATCCATTAAACATTTGGCCTTTCCACGTTATCTGAACATTGACTGGTCACCCATCACCCAAACATCCGCTAACTCTGGCTCTTTGTCTCCCATTGCTGAGTATCTGAAATTGAGGCTTCACGTGAAATATTGTCAGACAGTCAGAGTGAGAGAAACGTCTGTGCTGGAATTCTCTACATGAGTTCCTGACCTGCATCAATCAGTCTGCAGCTTGTACAGTTTTAAAACATTCTCCTACATAAACGATAGACCTCTTTTTGAATATGGCCCAAGCACATTTTGAAATGTCACTACGGCCAGTCAGACATCTGCGATACGTGTTTCCCGCTATCCCTGCCCCTGACACCCCCGCCCTTGCCCTTCTAAAATATTCAGTCTTCATTTTAGGGGCCTGGAGGCTCAGGCGTGGGGGAAATTGAAAGTGATTAGTTTCAGCTGCAGGGAATCAGTGATGAGCGCCCAGCCTAATGGGTGTCATGATTTAGAGCCATCTGATTGGAGGACTCGCGTGATGAATCTGCTGGCCGACATGGGGTACTGCACTGCTGTCTGTGTATCGCTCTTCTCTGATGTGACGAGCTCTTTCTCCTGGATAAAGATTCTCCTTTCCGTGTGGCTTTTTTTTTTTTAATTTTGTAGGCTTTCTAGTGTCAAACTTCTTGACAGAAAGCATGGACAGCTACTCCTACCTGAAGAAGGTGTCCTCTGAGAGCCACCTGTACAACGGCTTCAACCTGTTAACGGCTGAGTTCAGGTGAGCGCCGGGTTGGTTCTGAGCACCCTGGGGCCCTGGCCCGGTGTTGGTTCCCATCTGGACAGAAACCCACACTTCTTACTGAATAATTGGCCAGTGTCTCTCTGCAGACTGTTACCCGTGGCTGTGACCTGCGTGTGACGGGCAATCGATGTTGGGACCTTCCTGTAGTGTCTCCTTTCACCTTCACTGTTTCCCGCGAACAGATCTGCAGCCATATTTCCTCTGGTCACTGCTGCCAGAGATGTGTGGCTTTCCCCTCATGCTATAGGCCCCTGTCTAGAACCTATTCAGAGTCTGTTTTACTTCATATCTGCGATCTCCCAGCATTCCTGCCATCCCCAGTGCAGCCTCTGGTTCCATAGACCATGACGGTGACCTCATTCCAGCCTCCCTGCTTGAATGGGTTTTCTCTGCTGACCCAGAACTGAGTTCACAATTAATGATTTTTAAACAAAGTAGATAAGCTTAAATGTGTGTGTTTATTGTTTTGCTTTTTTCTTGTTTACTGCTTATTCTGAAACATAATGTTTTTCATTGTGCAGGAACTGAAACCGTATTTAATCTTTAGCAGGAAACACCGCGGTGCTGAATCCCGATCACACCTTTGCCATGATAGTGTATAATGCACTTGCATGATGTGGTACTGGTGCTGATAAGTATTTCTGTAGTGAAATAACCCAAATGTATCTTGTGGGCTCTCTAGCCGTAAAGCTCTATGTTACACTGGCAGTGCTTTGAGGGAGGATTTTGGTCTTTAACTTTCCTCGACTGGGAGGCCTTCAGAGCTTAGTGCTACAGTGGCTGGATGTCTGGGTTTACGGACCCCACCCCGTCCTCTTGCCATCCTTGAGCTCAAGCGGGCCCTGACCCCCCAGCGTGGCTAATGCGGCTTTCGAGAAGTAGATCTCGCGTTTTCCCGGCACTGCGGTTTCTCCGCGGCCCGCTAGTCAAAGCCGTTTCGGAAATGCAAACGAACTCGTTAAGGCTTGGAATTACTGCCGCCGCGGTCTGAGCTGTTTGGGCTACAGCGCGTTTGGGCGAGATGGCGGGTCGGGAATTCATCTCCCCGTGTCAGCCGACATCCACCACAGCCAGGCTGTTATCTGAAGCAGTGATTGCTCACCACCACCCCCAATGCAGGGGATCCAGTGTATCCTGAGCAAACAGTGGAAGATTAAAAAACATGCACAGCTAAATAAGTGACTTTTTTTCACGTTACCCAGGGTGCACTGCAGCAGGAAAGCGACTGGTGAATTGGTCCCTGAGGGATCATGGCAGCCTTTGTGTCCTCACTGAGCAATGTCACTTGGCAAATGGATGGCTCTTTTATGTCACTATTAGTGATTCACGTAACAGTGCCGTGTGATCGGACATGTGGACCTGTCCTGCTGTGGTCACTCCCGGAAGCTTGGAGCCTGTTAATGTCAATCTGTCCTTGAGTGAGCAAAGAATTGACGTAGTAGCGATATCCCATTAGACGACCTATTCGTATGGGTGCCAGTTTCTATTACAAGTGTGCATAAATCATCTACAGAGAGATGAGTTTTTCCTCCATTTGTGGACCTGCATCACTTTCCATATTTACATGGAAATATGACATTTAAAGCATATAAGTGAAATAAAAGGGATGTTCTCTGCGTAAGGACTTGGCGGAGCCCCTCTGGCTGCATGGCATGCCCTTTGGCTACCCACCTGCAGGGGGCGTAGTGTAAAAAAGTCAGTCATTGAATAGGCCAGTATGGGTAGTCCTGCCACATGTACACCGCAGCTGGTCTTGGCCGTAAAAGCCGGAGCCCCTGCAGAGATTCTCCCAGCCTTTTCACATCCGCCCTGATCAGCCACTTGCTTGGTCGTCCGTTTTACGAGGACTGGCCTGATGTGTGCAGGTGCCGCGTATCGACCTTTATTACACCATCCCCTGACCTGGGCCTTTAAAAAAAATAATAATAATCTCTCTCGAATGGGGGGGGGGCTCTGCAAGAACTGTGGAATCTATCCTTAAATGTTGGACAAACATTAATTCAGCGCTGATATTTATTTAAAGGTTAATTTTATTTATTTGATTCATTTGTAAGAGTTACTGAATAGTTCTTACCCTCAGATATTAGGCATTAGTGTGTGTTGCAACATTATTACATAATATTGTATTATTTAATAACTCGAAGAAATGGTAGAAATTCATAGACTAGAATTTTATATTGCAAACTTGCCCTATTATTATTAATAATCATCGTTATCATCATCATTCAGTTTCTTACATTCTGTTGTTATTACAAAATGCAGCATTATTACATAATGCGTTGTTACAGGGTGTGTGAGTATTTTTTAATGTACTTAATGCATCTTAATTTCAGGTCGTTAATACAATAGAGGATGGAATTCAGGCACATTAACTTTAATAACTGAAGCCCTTTGCCTCTGCTATCTGCAGCAGCCTGTGGTTCTTTCAGCCTCTACAGGGCTGCCTTGGTATAAATGCACCGTGATCCACGGGCATTTGGGTAGCTGACCAAGCGAAGCCACTGACATCACATCATAGCCATTTGCCGTTAACCTGCTAACAGTCAGCTTATGAGTGCAGAGACGACTAGGCCACTGCTCTCCTACTGTTAAACATTCATCGTTACAGTTAACGGTACCCAGTTAACGAGTGCAGCTGTTGTACAGAAGCATGAACTTCAAAGGCGTTCATGGTGTGAGACAGAGGCTTGAAGACCCTTCATTGTGAACCCTGGATTTTCTTGGTTCTCTTGTTTCCCGCTTCAATCCTGGTTGTCTGCTTCCTAAAAAGCCAACTATCCAGCCGGGCGAGTTGTGGCAGTAACACGTTGGCATCGATCTAGGGATGAGTCAGCATCGTTGAATACTCAACAATGCGTGTAATTTGAAAACATATTAAATTAGAATAATAAATGAGCTGTATTAAAATATTTGGCAACATTGTACTTGTAATTTATCCTGTAATAAGTTTGCAGTTTATTCGTTCTGAAATTTACCTCTGCTTTTTTTGCGTGAGCTCTGCATGTGCTCCCTGAGCCAATCATAATCATTTTCCTCCTTGTTCACTCATGAGTGAGGCGAACAGGAACTAACCAGAAGTGATTTATCGGCACTGCTTTGTGTCTGTTGGCACAACTTGTGGCAACAAGTGTAAATCTGGTTATGCTGCTGCCCTTAAGTTTGTATGTACATTTAGGTTGTTGTGGCTGCTGTTAAAAATGTTCTTGAAATTCATGTTTTGGGAAATTCGTTCTTAATAAAATATTAAATAAGCGTTACTTGTCAGTGTACCAGTAGAAACTTTTTGACGAGTTAACCAGAATGCAAACTAATGGCCTTTCCCCCAAAAAACACACTATTGGTAGATAACAAGTTCTGTTCGGTTATACTTTATTTTAATATTCATCGCAAAGATTTTAAATATCACAATCTGAATTTCCCCAATATCATTCAGCCCTAGTTTCAAGGCAACTTTAATTAAAGTTACATTTTACACTAAAATTTACCGCATTGAACAGCGTCTCATTTTGTATAGAAATAAATTAATGGAGTAGCCTATAAGCCAGAGAAGTATCGTTAGGGTTGTGTTGTTAAAAACAAAGAAATTGCCATGTGCTTTAACTGGCCAAGGCAAAAGCTATTAAACATTATTCTGTGCTGCTGCGCTTGAACTATCTTTCCAGTTTAATTTCAATTTAATTTATTCAAGCTACTTTTTAATGTTTTGTAGCAAGGAGTAGTATCTCATTTTGTATAGAAGGAAATATTTGATTCATACCCCATGCATATTTCTCCATGTGAATGGAGGGGTTGGGGTTGGGGCGGGGTTAATCCAATGTTATCCAAATAATGACTGGTGAAGTTTGACTAGTAATGTCTGAAATTGCCATCCCTAGATTGAACCCTACAGTCTCGGGCATCACATGACTTCACATTCAGAAGTGGGCAGAGGTGGGGTCACAGGGCCTTGCTGTTTCTGTCCAGGACTGGCTGGGCTGCCATTTCACAACTGACCGCAGCTTCTACCTTTACCCCTCTCTGTCCAGGGCCAAAGGGGACACCACTGTGTGTTACTATGGAAACAAAGGCAGCACAGAGCCTGTGGTGCTGAAGCCAGGTTTGTTCCCTGTCCCCGCTGGTGTCCGTCCCTGTGTCCGTCCATCCGTCTGTCTGTGCTGTCCCACATAAGTGATTATATAAGTGACTCCTCATGTCGGGGTGACTGAGTATCCTTTAGCAGCAGTTTGAGATCCTGTGTGGTTACTTTGATCAAATTCATTAAAAACAATGGTTGGCCTCTTCATTGAAAAACAAATTTTGAATCAAACAGCTTTAGTATAGATTTTTACAAAAAAAAAAAAAAGACTCCCATTAACAGAAAGCTTTCGAGCTGTAACTTCCCAAACAGTTTGCTTCCCCGGAGATCACTCTGCTTGGCATTAATGTTCGTAAGCAGTGTTACACCGGGAAACGTGGTGAAGATGGATCAGGTTACACTGGTCTCCCTACGCACAGTAATGGATGTAGTTAATAAAAGGTGCCGATCGAAGAGCTCAGTCTCCGGCTTTATTGCATTATTATTGCCCATGTTTTTATGTGTTAAAAACCCCCAAAGTGACAAAACTTAGACCATCTTGCAGCAATAAACAGCAGTGCTTTTCTGGCCAGGAGTGCCTGGCATAGTGAAGAGTTCTTTCCCTTCCTGAGATGAAGATGGCTTTACGGATTCTTCTCTCACCCTACATTCACCTGTTAGTGATGTCTGAAATTAGTTTTTATTTATGCCACATTAAATTGCGTGCCGATTTAATGTCCCACAGACACTTCAGATTGGAATGTCCCACTAGATTACTTTTTCAGGGGTGGGTCGGCTAGTTTAATGTCTGCTTCTGGCAGCTACCGTTCCACTGTCATTGTTTTAAACCACTAACCTGGCCAAGCTCTTTCTGGGGCTGTTCTGTTCCTTGTAGGGATGGGGCCTGCAAGTCGATATCATGCACTGTCTATCTGTGGAAGCCAGGAGTGGGCGGGACCTAAGGTGCCATCAGTCATCGGCTGTGATTGACAGCAGACAGCGCATTTCAGATCCCCGTCTCTCCTGTTTTACGGACTCTGTGGTTTAGGGAGAAGCCTGTGCACAGAGACAGGAGGAATGCTGACAGGGGCTGAAGTTCAGAGTGTGTGAACATGCTTGGTTTGAACAGGGCACTTTACTTTAAGCATCCTTTTTATGTTCAGATATTTTAAATAGAGCTTAAATGAATACCCTTTGGAGGCTAATTTGGGTTTTACAGTCAATCTTTGAGTAAGACCATACTGAAACTTATCGTAACTTTTTGCATTTTTTTAATGAGCGCTCCCCTACCCCCACTGTCAGGTCTGTGGTATTTAGAGAGGCCATAATCTCCCCCAGATTATTTCTAGCCCTTTTGGGGATCACGCTCTTCATTCCACATGTGCTTGTATATTGAGCCCAAGCTCTTATCTGGAGAAGATGTATGGGGGGTGCAGCTTCTGCTATCTGATGGAATCGGTCCTAATTGGCCTGAGGAAGTCAGCCATGGAATGCCCTCCCCATCCCCGCCCCCCCAGTATTACGAAGCAGGGTTACTGGCTTATCAGGATTTAAGGTGGTCTGGGCAAAATGAAAGTGAACGAATATGAAGTCCATTTAAACTGTGGTACCTTAAATCCGACAAGTTACCCCGATAAGCCAGTAACCCCGCTTCGTAGTACAGGCCACTGGTCTCGGAAATGCGCCCCACCCCCTCCCCATGTCTCAAGCCACCTGATAAGTGAGATGGGCATTGCTTAGCCTGTTAAGAAGCAGGCCTTTCCTTGAGTTTAGAGTTCCTGATGTTGGCTCCTCATTTCAGGGGTTTGTTCTTCTTTGGCTACTTTTTGGCTATAACAGCCACTGCCGTTGGTCTCAAAGTACAGGACTGACATGTTTGTGATTATGCCGTATTTTGTAGTTCTGACACATTCAGGGCCTGTCCTAGCCGATGTAGCACCCTAGACGAGCATCACCGCCAGCACCCGTGTGTGAAGCAAAGAGAAATTGGTTGGCAAGGCAGCACCCCCTCAGAAATTGTCTTCATAGATGGCTTTCTATACCATATAAGATTGACTAGCCTTGGACAAATGTATTCCATTTTCACTCCAGTTTCGGGTTCCTCAAGGACAGTTTTCTGGAGGTGTGAGGCCTTGACACCTGTGATGAGCAGGATTTTGTACCCTGACAATCATGGCTCTGTTTAACCCGCTCATGGCTGGTTATCTGCTAAAGTAAACCGGACGATGACTGACGGAGCTAGATTTCTGTGAAAGATGTTTGCAGCAAAAGACCCTTTTGTGGCACAGGAGACTCCAGACCTACTTTAAAATGAGTCCTCTCCTTAGCTGGCTCAGTTTCATCCTCAAAAACTCAAAAACTTTCAGATTTTTCTGTCGAAGCACTAGACGCAAGCAAACTGGGACCCTAATGCATCTGCGTAAACCTCAACCAGTGATGCAGGGGTTTCTGATGTGTGCTGTGTTCCGGCAGGAGTCTATGGGCTGAGTAATTCCCTCCTGGAGACTCCATGGAAGAAATTGCAGTACGGCAAGAATCTGTTCACCAGCGTGATTGGCCGGGACCTCCCCACGGACGGCTTGGTGCAGGAGCTGCTGCAGGTCCTGAACAATCAGGAGATGTGAGTGTCTGCCTGCCTTCCTGCCTGCCTGCCTGCCTATCTGTCAGCCCCCCCTCCTTCCCCTGTGTGTGTGTACTCTAGGTCGACCCTTATACCACTCCTCAAACAGCTTGACAAGGACTCAGGCTTAGAACAGGATATGGAGTATCATTGGGAGCTCTCCTGTAATGGGGCTTTTTCTAACCTGCTCCCCGGTACCCCAGACAGTCCACGTTTTTGCTACTGGGCGCGGGGAAGGAGCAAAAATGTGGACTGTCTGACAGGGAGCTGGGAGGGAGCAAAAACGTGGAATGTCTGACAGGGAGCTGGGAGGGAGCAAAAACGTAGAATGTCTGACAGGGAGCTGGGAGGGAGCAAAAACGTGGACTGTCTGAGGGTCCCCAAGGACTGGATTGGGAAACACTGTTGTAATGAATGCCAAGTGTCTCCCTGCTGGAACAGACCTTTCAGCTTTGGAGTTTAGCAGCCATGTCCTAGTGTTACCTAGTGTGGCTGAACTTCCTGAAGTGAAGCTCCTGCTTCCTGTATCCTAGCCACTCGCCGGACCCAATCCAGGAGCTCCAGGGGGATGGCTACAGCAGCGCCATGCTGCGGGCCCTGTCCGCAGTGTGCGTCCGGTCCCCGGGATACGGCACGAGGTCAGAACGCATCCCACACACGGCCATCTCTGTGCAGAGCTGTTCGGGCTGTAATCACAGAAATGCTCAGTTCTTGCATTTATATGAAGGATTGCTTAGTTTTTCCTGGTAGGAGCTTTGAGTCACACGACTGCATGCCAGCCCTCAGCCACCACAGACTGCTGCTTTTTAACATTCAGCCTGTATTCTGCTTCCGTTTAGGACTAACACGGTCATCCTCATAGATGCTTCCGGAAACGTGTCCTTCACGGAGAGAAACATGCTGCACTGTGACATCAACCAGTGGGATGTGAACACCTTCCACTTCAAACTGCAGGAATGAGGGTGGCAGGGCTCAGCGGAACATGCTCAGCGGAACATGCTCAGCGGAACATGCTCAGCGGAACATGCTCAGCGGAACATGCTCAGCGGAACATGCTCAGCGGAACATGCTCCGTGTCCCCACCGCCCCCCCAGCCTTGCCTCCCCTGTGCGCTCTGAATGTCAAGTTAATTTGTTTAATTAGTACATCAGGTGTTTTTTTTTTTTTTTTTTTGTCCTCGGGGAAAAAAAGCCTTATTTCTCAATCTTCATTCACATCTGTGTGGGAAGACAGACACCTGACACTGGAAATTCCAACTGAGATCTCTTACACAATCAATGTAACAAATGGTTTTTCTTTTTTAATCTGCAAATGTTAACTTTATTAATAAAATTTGACCTGAATATATCAATAAACCATTGAATGTTTTATAGTGGGCTGTTGACAACACTTCCAAAACCATAGTGACTTGAGTGAAGAGGAGCATCGCGTAAGGTGAGGCTTGGTGTGTTTGGTGTGTGTTTATTGTAGTTCGAGGGTTGTATTACGTTGTAGTGCCCTGTTGCATGCCCTCTGCTCGCTCTCAGCGTCAGCACAAATCGAAAGCGTTTTCAATGCGTATGTCACGCATGGCTGGATAGACTGCAGCTTTGGAGATTAATGTTAAAGACCCCAGCCTGCAGGGGGCGCCCTCCTGTTCTTGCTGAAGGAACTCCTGCAGGGTCTTCCATCCCCTAAGTCCTGTGCTTCTCTGGGCGATGTCCCCATACTGCAGCAAGTGTGTTGGGCCTCATCTGGCTCCCTCATACAGAACTCCAACAAAGTGATTCCGTTCATTATTTCACAAGTGTTGTGCCGCCTCAGATGCTTACCTGGGGTGAATCGGGAATTCACCCTGTTCATTGCTGGCGTGAGGCTCGGTATAGAGCTGAATGTCTTCTTGATATCTCTGGGATCCTTTGATCAAAAACTGGCCTTCAAAAGAATAAAGGCTCCAGGGATAAGATATAATTTGACCAGTTAACATGGAAAAATATTGTATTCAACTTGTTCCCACCCTCCTGCACGGATTGCATAAATTTCCCCCAACATTTTGGTGTGAACTGCAACAGTGAGACTCTCCTAACAAGACTAGGATTGAAATGTTAGCTTCCCCATTTGTGCCACAATATCTGATTGTAAAGACTTCATTCTTAATTAACACTACTATTAATAATACTGTTCACAGAATGTGAACAGTATTATTAATAGTAGCACACAAACACGTGCTTAAAGCTTCTCTGCAGCTCTTCACAGTGTCAGCCATATTTAAAATTCATATTTTCGGGAGTCACTGTGGTTTGCTATGTTGCCTCGAATAAGAGGTTTGCAATCTTGATAAGACAGATGTCGACCTGGCATAAATGGTAACGGGATAAACGTGGCTCTTTCTGCAGCTAAGTGACCTTATTGATTTGCATTTCTCAGATGAGAAAAATATATAATATATCCATGCAAAAGAAGAAAATAGAGTTGTAATCTTCTATGGGATGTGATCTACCAAATCTAAAACCTAGTGTCTTCCTTTCACATGCACTGTTTTTGCATGACATTTCCCTATGTGACAGTTCGCTTGGCTAATGGGTGCATTTCTCAGTTGAAACTAGTGATGGAGATCATGACTGAATTAATAGATAATTTTAATTAGTTCAGACTGGTTCTTTGATTCATTGACTTCCAACATGGCCACCTCAAATGGGTCTCCCATGGATATTTTTCCCTTTTATTTTTAATTACATTTTATTACATTCAATATATAATTATATGCTGCGATGGGTTGGTGCCCCATCCTGGGTTGTTCCCTGCCTTGCGCCTGTAGCTTCTGGGATAGGCTCTGCCCCCCCCCTCCCCATGACCCTGAACAGGATAAGTGGTTTCAGAGAATGGATGGATGGATATAATTGTATGTTATATTTTATTATACATTATAATTAACGTTAAATTGTTCTTGGACATCTTTACAGCAGCAGGGGGGCGAAAGAGAAGGGATCTCGGTTATTAACTAATGTCTTATGCCTGAAATGAACCGGCCAATGCAGTGACCACAATCATTTCAGTCACTTAAAAGGTAAAAAAAGATCCAATCAGCCATGGACATCATATGTCTAATTAAAACCAGTGTGGCTCATTTAAAAGTCACGTCATGTGAAGAGGTTACCTGCCAGAATTAAATGCTAAATGCCTTAAATTACAGCTTGACTAAGCATTTATATGCATTATAATAGGTATTTAACCACTATAATTTAGCCAATAAGCCATATCACGAAGCTAACGACGATTTGACGGATAACGCCTTCCACCAGAGTAGCTTGGCAGAAATGGCCCCTTGGCTTTCACATGCACAATGACAATCCGATTTTGAAATGTTCATTATCATTTTCTGTATGACCTTTCCAGCTATACTGAAAACATTAAGGGGCAGACATCTCATTCGTTGCAAATGCAATATTGCAATTCACAGTAGAGCATGAATTAATTCTTGTCATACACCTCTATTACCAGGTATGACTGTGAAATCATGTAATCCCAAAAACGCTGACAGGCATAATAAAACCTTCTTATCAAAAGACATCTCTGTGACCAGATTCAGCAATGTGATTTAGAATAAATCACGGAGGCTGCCCTAATCCATATTAATTCACGGTATAGTTGTCTACACCCCTTAGCAATTGCTAAGGTAATTGAAAATGTTCTGATTTCTGTTATTTATAACGACTACATTGTCTGCTTGACAGTGTTCCCCTTTAATGATTGTGAATTGTGATTTCAAAAGAGGTCATCGACCAAGTATATAGAGATGCATTATTTCTAGAAACAGTAAAACACTGTACTTTGTCTGGTCATTAATTTAGATAAGTGGAAATCAGTGCAGGGTTGTCTTTATATTTGGCAAAGATGTGTCATATGAAAGAAAGGCACCATACTTTAGGGTTGTCATTTATAGTTTGTGTTTAGGTCACTGGTGAAAAGTTCAGATGAAAAAGGTATTAGGCACATTCTGTAGGGAAAATATTTTGCTACACCACCACCTGTAGTTCATAAAGATCTTTCATCATTATTCAGTTCTGTTCGTAACATAGTTATGCAACAAAATGAAATTAATGAATGCATCTGCGTAAATGTGCCTTGTATGTAGAATCATCGCTTTATTGGCATAACTCCTGATTAGTATCACTGCTGAACAACAGGACTATATTTTTGCTGCATAGTAATTTACAATAATCATTCTCAAAATCTTATATGTATATTTTGCTAACAATTCAATTAACAACTATCTACTGTAATAATGATGACACTTTATTGATCCATCCATTTTCTGTAGCAGCTTGTACTGTTCAGGGTTGCAGGGGATCTGAAGCCTATCAGCACAAGGCAGGGAACAATCCAGGATGGGGCACCAATCCATTGCAGGGCACACTCACACACCAGTTACTCACATGTACACAACTATAGGCAGTGCAGTGGTTTTACAGAACCACGGCAATGACTCAAACCTTGGTTTAACCACTGCACCTCCATGCCTCCCCTCACTTTACTGATCCATGTAGGTGAGCTTGGCAACTAAGGGCAGCCACCTGCAGTGTCACCCATGGAGCTGGGGGTTAAGGGCCTTGCTCAAGGGTCCACGGACGTGACTATTCTGCCAAAACTGGGCTCAAACCAGCAACCTTCTGATCACAGACACAGAGGCTTAGCCTGCTCTGATCTCCAGTTCATGACTGGCCTTGGCAGAACAGCCATATGCCTGTGGACCCTTGACTAAGGCCTGTAACCCCCAGCTAGGCGGCTGCTCCTTCACTGTGACCCCCAAGCTTGCTCTCAACTGTATGGAGGGCAACATGAAGAAAAGAAAAGAGAATATCTCCACAGGGATTAATGAAGTTTCACTATGCATGTGTATGTATGTATATAACTGTATGTATAAGAAAGCTACATACAGTATATACCCACATAATATTATGTATATAATAATAAAGTGGGTGGAATAAATTGAGCGCGATGGCTTTCATATTCATAAAGACCAATTTTAAAAACTTAAAAAATTCTAGCAAAGCATTTTGTTATGCGGTAGTTTATGACTGCCACCTACCTGCGCATACGGAGAATTTAATATAAGTAATACAGTATATGACTTTAAGAAATGTAGTCGTCATGTTTCCCAGAGCATTTACGTGATAAAAAGTATTTAAAATACTGCATAAACTGTTTTACAAAGGTAAATTTATATTTTATTGCCATTATATTCCGAAGCCTATAACCCGCCATGAATTTTACAGCACAAGTGTACTTCATGCTGAAGTAGCTCTAGGAAAGCGCTTACGTTTCATTGGAAGAGGCTGATATGATCTAAAACCTGATTGGCCTGTTCATGTGTCATGGATTTCGGGTAAAGACAGATGGCTGGTGAGGCCTGCCCTTCTCGTTTATTGGTCCACGGCCTGTCAATCACCAAGTAGCCGGCACTGGGCAGCGCACCAGCGGCGTTGATGCAGCTGCCAAGATGGCGGACGGATACGGGAGGTGTTCGTCACTTGATCTGAGCTGAAAAGTGACTTAAACAGAAAAAAGGATCTGTTTTTAAACCTAGGTACGTTTTACCGCAGTGTCTCGGTTTTACCTCTGCATTTAGAATGATATGGGTGTTTGATATAATCTCTGTCTGCAGGTAAAATGAATAATCGGTTTCACTATGCATTATAGCAATAAAACTGGTACTTCAGTCGTTAGTCACTTAGTTAACTTACCACGCAACTTGTTAGTTATCTGTCAATTTACTTGTGAAAAGCGAATGGAGATTAATCTAACTGTTGAATGGGGCAGTGTAAAATCGTCCTAGCTAATTAGCCAGCTGGCTTCGTGAAATCAATGGCCGGCGGCTTAGCAACCAGCTACGTGGACTGCAGTTGAATACTACATGCAGCTTAATTTTATTTTTACATGTATTTTCACTTTAGTATGGTATTTTTGTAGGGGCGCGCAGCTAACTTCCCCAGCAGCCATCTGGAGGCGAGGTCCGCACACTGGTTAGCATGTTAGCAGACATACGTGGCCTGTCAGCCTGGTCGGGTTTCCAGCTGCCCCTGAAACACCGCTAAATCCTTCATTCTCTCCCCTTGCAGCCTTTCATCGTTATTGTTCCTGCAGTCTGGCCTGCTTCAAAAAAAATATATATTTTTTTTTCAATAATGACGGACTCCCCTACCCCTATACACGATGCGTGTCTTCCTATTCTTTATTACGATTCAATACATGTACACCTTTTCTTCCTGTATATGCACCACAGTATACATTATATACAATTTAAATTGCGACACACATATATTCAGAGTTGGAGATTTTTTATTATTATTATTTGGAATGGGTCAACTTCCAGATATTTTCAGCATGCTGTGAACTGTCCCCTTCCCCTTTTCTCTCCCCTCCAGCTCCTGCGGATGGTCCCGGATGATAGGCGGCAGGAACACGGCCGCCGTTTAAGCTGAGTGCATTGTGATTTCCAATAATTGAGACAGTGATTCTAAAAAGCTGTCTACATTAATGAAAAGAACAATGTAGTCAGCTTAGCGTATTCAACACTGTACGTGACCAGTAGACAACACGTGTGTGTGTTTTGATGAATGGAGTTTAGCTTTGCATGACACAATATTAGTCTATACTGACAGTTTACGGTTATTGTTCCTCTAGTGTTTTCATCATTTTGAGGTATAATATTAGTTGTTTAAGCTGGGGATGGAGACGAAACAGCCCCTACCTCCGCTACCTTTAGAAGCACCTGAGGCTGAGAATGTGGAGATCCTTAGCCTTACAGCACCTCCTCCACCTCCCCTGCAAACGTCCAGTGACGCAGAGGAAATGGACGTTAGCTCTGGTGGTGATGGACACACGCACACCCCAGTAGAGGACACGGAGTCCGCCAGCACGTTGTCGCTGCTCCTCACCAAGGGCTCGGTGTCCTTCAGCAGCCGTCTCCCAGAAGAGGGTGAGGCTGGCTCTCCCAGCCCCAGAACGGGCCGTCACGCGCCTCCTGTCACAAAGTTCCTCCCCGACCCCAAGTTGCTGAGGGACGTCAAGATCAGCGTGAGCTTCACGGAGAGCAGCAGGAGCAAAGATAGGACAGTGCAGTACACAGGGGTAGGCGAGGTCGCGGTCAGCCACGCTTCCGCGCAGGGTTCGAATGGTGAGTTGCATGAGGCCCCCGAGGCGGGAGCCGTCGGCGGGGAGGGCGTCAGTGCCGGCAGGCAGGGTGAGGATGCGGACTCCGAGCTAGAGAACAGAGTGGAGTTTGCGGTTCTGGATGAGCTTGAGGACTTGACTCCGAATTTTCTGGAGGCTGAAGATGGAGAGCAGGGCGGGTTCAGATCTGAAGTCATAGTTCAGCGGGAGCAAGCAGACAATGAGGGCCTCGATTACTCCTATGAGGTAGGTCCCCGACGACGCCCTGCCAGTGTGTAGGGGATAACTCAGCTGCCACGATGCGGGGGCCATGCTGTGTGCTCATTTCCCCATGTTTGTTTTGTACCCTTGTCCGTTCTGATACTATGAGCTTACCACCTGTCATTTCACCTGGATCACAGCTAAAATGGATGGTGGACGAGGGATCGTTTGGGTAGAGAGTCTGTGGTTGGAGGATTGATGGATGAGGGATTTCTCTGTCTTCCCCCTCTCTCCCTTTCGCACTTTTTTTTTTTTTGTCCACTGGGTCTTTCTTTCTAGGAGGACTTTGACAACGATGTGGACGCCTTGCTGGAAGAGGGTATGCCTGTTCCTAAGAAGATGCGCCTCTCAGAGGACAAGTACGTGGGCGACAGTGACCACCAGTCTGATGGGGAAGCCGGCGTCCAGCCCATGATGACCAAGATCAAAACCGTGCTTAAGAGTGAGTGCATCCTCTCCTGTTGCACAGGGCTTGGTTGTGTTCAAATATAACTCATCTCCAAGAGTTTTTAGCTTTTAGTGCCCATAACGTGCCAGTAGCCATGTTAGTCTTCCAGGGTACCCGCAGTCATGGAAAAACCTGGAAAAGTTTTGGAATTCTTGGATAGAGAGAAGTAGTTTTGGAAACTAGCCTTGTTCATTTTTGTTTCCCGCTTTGTTCCGCAACACGCTAACGGAAATGTACGAGCGGAAGTCAATAGTTAACTACCCCATACAGACACTGTTCTATCTACTTTAGTTTTACAAATTTGTGGGTTTTTGAAATGTGAGTCCCATGTGTTACCATGGTGGTTTTTGTGTTGATTCCTGAGCTTCTCATGCTGGCATGTTTCCCCAGGTCGCGGGCGTCCTCCGACGGAGCCGCTTCCTGATGGCTGGATCATGACATTCCATAACTCTGGTGTTCCAGTCTACCTCCACAGGGAAACTAGAGTAGTAACATGGTCCCGGCCTTACTTTTTGGGAACAGGAAGTATCAGGGTAAGATGGCTTTTGAACTTAAAACCTGAACTCCTTCCATTGAACAAAGGTGGGATGTTAACATGGTAGAAGTCTGTATTATTTGAATGTTGGCAATGTTTCATGACAGCCAGTCTGAGGTGACCCCAGTAAGGGGGGCTGTAACAGAGCTTTTTGGGAGGAAGGAGCAGCGGTTGTAGAGAAAGCAGAGCTGCAGAAACACTGCTATTCCATCCCGCACAGAAACACGACCCCCCAGTCAGCAGTATTCCCTGCCTGCACTACAAGAGGATGAAGGAACATGAAGAGAGGGAGCAGAACGGGGCCACGAGCCCTGACAGGGCGAAGGGCACAGACCCAGCAGAAGGGGCAAAGGAGCCGGACTCTGTGGCCCCAGAAGATGCTTCTGCCGGGGCCTTGGGGGGCAACGGCGAAGGGGCCACGGTTGTTGGGAGTCTCCCCCCTGGGGAGAAGGAGCCACAGGCCTGTGAGGTGGCGCAGGGAGCACTGGGCCAGGTGAAGGCCAAGGTGGAAGTGTGCAAGGATGAGTCTGTGGGTAAGGACCAGCTGCAGCCTGGGTTCACTCCTGCTAATTTCAGTATGAACTGGCGTTTTACCACCTACCTTCAGGGACGTCATCCTGGTTCTGAGTTCCTGGGCTTTATTGACCAGAAACTTCTATAGTTCCTGGCTGCTTGGTGTGCTGCTCTACCACCATACAACAGGAAAGGTGATGTTTATGCTGACTAAATATGGGAAGTTTCACGCACAGTTTCATATCCAACAACACTACACAAAAACAAGCTGTTTCGTTAGTCATTGGGTGGGGGGGGATCATGCAGTCTGAAAATATGGCACAAATCCACATCTCATATTAGTGCAAAACAGGACACTGCATTTTATTTATGCAATGTGACTTTTATACATTTTTAAATCTGGCCAGCAGGTCTACCTTTCATTTTCAACCGATCGAAACTGTGCTGTCGAGTTTCATTACCGGTATCAGTGATATTACACAAAAATATCAGTCATCAGTATTAGTCAAAATTTCCATATTGGTGCACCACTATTACAGAGATCAAATTAACTGATCCAGAAATATGGAGAGACAAACAAAAAAGATATTAATGATATATTGTAATTGAATTATAATAATTTCATCTGCTCCGTTTTTCTGTTACTACTTCCATTTCTTTTTCCCTGCGCTTCTGTGTAACTTTCAAGTTAGTGCCAGTGCTTGTCGTCAACCAGCCAGCAAATTTTATCGATATAAATTGCACTTCAGTAGTTCCTGGTCAAACGAAAATACTTTTTCATGTCATTGTCCAATATTACCGGGAACAAACTTGCTGTTACACATACTTTGCTTGTGAGTAGCAAAGATTTTTGAATACTGTATGCACATTTAGCATCTAACCTCAGTAACGTCGTCCTGCAGTGGTACCAATTTTTTTTTTAATTATTATTATTATTTCAACCACAACTGTAATGGGATCCCATAAGTGTGCCATTGTCAGCAGCTTGATGTGAGAAGTGTGTTCTCTAGGTGGCTTGCTAAGTATGTTTTAGGGGTGCAATGGATCACAAAACTCATGTATTCGGGTCATGGGTCGGATCATCTTTTTTTGGATCAGTTTAAAAAAAAAAAAAAATGCATTTCTATTTACTTAAAGAACTTCAAGAAACCATAAAGCAAGGAACTTTGAACATGCCCCTTTCATGTGAACATACAACTTTTGTCTGTATCTTTCCACAGCAACTCTATAGAGGGCATCCATCATTCTTTTTCTGTCTTCTGTTGAGATCACATTCCATTCCCACCAAATATTTTAAATCCCCCCCATGTGCTACACATAAGGGGGGAATTTTGCCCCGGTGTGAGAAATGAATTTAAAGCCTTGAATTCATGTTCTATGTGGACTTCCGTAGCATCGAGATTTAGGGGAAAAATTATTTTTAAATGTAACGGCGGCAATAAAACTGTTTTACACTCATGGTTAAATCATGGGTCAGCTAAGGTCTGTTACACCACTAGAATTTTATCAAAATTGTAATTTGTAAGTTATCAAATGTGTGGTAATTTTGTAACAGCTGATTAGGCTAAGGTTTACATATCAAGCCAATGATCTTGCTGCATCCTATAGCAGCAGCAAAGGTCACAATTTATTAAAATGATCTCTAATGCTATACTATTTTGTAAAAACAAAAAAGGTTTGTTAGGTTACATCTGTGATGTTTCCATTTTAAAATGTCATCATTATGATGGACCTTACACCTAATTATAATGAAATGTAAAATTTAAGTTATAACTTAGTGATACCTTAAGACTATTTGCACGTTTCAACCAATTTTTTTTTGTTTGTTCGTAAACTCAAAGTAGTGGCTGTTTAGATCTACCGTAGGCTACGATCGCACTTGCGCTTAGCTGATGGAGTTAGGCCGCGTTCCTGAAGTGGGAACATGACAGAGGTTCCTGGCAAATTCCCGTGGTGGGTAAGGGCCTAACGGGTCACTCTGAGCAGTGCCTGTAATGTCCCTCAGTGACCGAAAGAGACCTGCAGCTAAACACCTCGCTAATATGTAAGGTGTTTGTGGTGTTCAGGATTCACCATGTGATGTGGAACTGATTGCAAGAAGACATAATAACCATGACTGAAGGTGGTCCTAGCCTGTAAGGGGATGTGGAGTTACGGGTTAGCATACAGTGTCCTGTCTTCAGGTTAACAGGGATTGCAGTGAATGGGTTAGGCTTCAAATTAAAATTCTTTATTGTAGACATAGACCGAAGCAAGTGTGACCTCAAAGGGTTTGTGTCGGGAGTGAACATTGTGTGAACAACATTCTCCGTCTGTGGGCCCCAGAAATTGAAGAGTTCCGGCACTATTTGGAAAAGTGCTTCGATTTTGAGCAAGTGACCGTGAAGAAGTTCCGTACTTGGGCTGAGAGGCGGCAGTTCAACAGGGAGCTGAAGAGGAAGCAGGCCGAGTCGGAGCGGCCCATCCTGCCCGCTAACCAGAAGCTCATCACGCTCTCCGTGCAAGACGCCCCCACTAAGAAAGGTCCGCCGGGTCACCACCGTGCTGTGCTCACAGAGCCTGTGTCTGCTGCCTGCTTTAAAGTTCATGTGTTTGTGTGTTGATCTCCCTTTCAGAGTTCGTCATCAATCCGAATGGAAAGTCTGAAGTGTGCATACTTCATGAATATATGCAACGTGTCCTCAAAGTTCGACCTGTTTACAACTTTTTTGAATGTGGTAGGTGTCTCTGTCTATCTGCTCCTTCTCTTCTGTCTTATTCATCATTCACATGTTGATGGTTTTGTTTCAAAGGTATGAAAGGGCAACTGGGTAAATGGCTTCAGGGTAGCCCTGCTAGTTTTTGGGTTACAGAGTCCTAAACATCTCTATTTTCCAGAAAACCCAAGTGAGCCCTTCGGAGCTTCCGTCGTCATTGATGGAGTGACATACGGGACGGGCACAGCTAGCAGTAAAAAACTGGCGAAGAATAAAGCTGGTAGGTCATCTACTGGGAGAAGGATCAAGCTGGGTGGAGCTACTGGTCGATGGTCTGCCTGGTCCTGCTGATCTAAGTGGATAGTTCTGCCACTAATTGATTTAACTGTCTTTAGCACTTACCTTCTGACCAAAGGTTGTTCTTAATTTATGATTCTTTCCATGACTTTATTTAAACCCATCAATCCTACTCAGCACGAGCAACGCTGGAGATCCTCATCCCAGACTTCGTGAAGCAGACATCCGAGGAGAAGCCGATTGAAGGAGATGAATTAGAGGTAACATCTCCAGGAAAATTGCTGGACAGGCATGTCCCTGATGAGGGCCACTACTCAGTTTGCCGCCAAATCTCTTGGCAACCGTAGATGAAATCAAAGCTTTGACATGTTCCCATTCTGGTTGGTTCTCTTCACGTTTGTACTTCATGTCTGACTTCACTCTTATGTTTTCCAGTATTTTAATCATATCAGTATTGAAGACTCAAGGGTGTACGAGCTAACCAACAAGGCCGGTTTACTGTCCCCGTATCAGATTCTTCACGAGTGCCTTAAGAGGTAATCTTCGGGCAGGGCCCAAACACTTGTTTTGACATGGTCATCCCAATACTTCTAGGATTAGAACAAGCTTTGCATTCTGACATCTTCTGGAGAGTTAAGCCTAGTTCATACTTCACTTCTTCACGTGCTGTTATGGTTCATGCATGGTGCTGCATGCAGCTTCTTGTTTACATAATAAAATTGTGTATTTTCGCAGATGGTTGTGGTCAGCACATGAATACAGCAATAATATTCCAGCAGAGGGCAGATATTTCCATCTCTGCCAGAAAATGTTATCGGATTTACAATTGGCAAAACTAAATTTAGCAGAAGCTAATTGGTCCGCGAACATTTTTCAAAGTTAGTGGAAACACTATTGCATTAACAAAAAGTTAGCTTTGCTAATTAGCAGATTAGTGGAACCCTGCTTACGTGTGTGTGTGTGTGTGTGTGTGTGTGTGTGTAACTACTTAACTCATAACTTCTCATAATTATAATCTTTGTTAGAACCTGGAAACAGCCAGTCAGTTTCCTTACACATGTAAAGTCAATGTGCACCGACCGCTAGACCCAAAATCTGGACTGCACGTCTGCACAGACACTGTTGATGACAAAATTTACATCACTAGCTCAGTGCACAGACCATAACAGCCCATGGAAAAGTGCAGCATGATTTGGTTATTTAAGGCTTCTATAAATCCAGGATGGACAAAGGGTGGACTGGACATGTGTGCTTTAGAGAATGCTCTAGATGAGGGGAAACATGCTTAGATGCTACTGTGGTCTCCTTTCTCCTGTCCTTCAGTGTTGGTGACTCATGTCACTTTGCTTCTTGGAGCAGCCATTCTTGGTTTTAGGTCTTCCTATGTGGGATGATGTGTTGTTAACATGATGCTGCTCCTGCTCACTGCTGTGATCTTCGATTGTGCTGCGTTCCTGCTCCAGGAACCATGGGATGGGTGACACCAGCATCAAGTTCGAGGTGGTCCCGGGAAAGAACCAGAAGAGCGAGTACATCATGACCTGTGGGAAGCATACCGTGCGTGGCTGGTGTGAGTACGAGCCTGCCGTGTTTTGGTCGGTCCTAGTCTCTCTCCACGGGATGGAGCGCTGACCATGTTTAGCTTTATGTGTTGTTCTAGGTAAGAATAAGCGTGTGGGGAAGCAGCTGGCCTCACAGAAGATCCTGCAGATGCTGCACCCCCACGTGAAAAATTGGGGCTCCCTGCTGCGCATGTATGGCCGGGAGGGCAGCAAGATGGTGAAGAAGGTAACCATCCCAAGCATGGGCTGCCATTCTTGTATATTAACATTTTTTTAATCTTTAGTCGTCTGATTGACCAGCCAAGTTTGAGTGATATCTGTAATTGGTACATTTCTGTATGATTTGGCAGGAGAATTCGGATAAAAGTGTCATTGAACTCCAGCAGTATGCTAAAAAAAACAAGCCTAACCTTCACATCCTGAACAAACTGCAAGAGGAGATGAAGAAGCTGGCCAAGGAGAGGGTGGGTTTTGGCAGAAAATCCAAAAATTCGTGGTACCAGGAAGGACAGAATGACCCTGTATTTAATGGATCTTGTGTTGTCTGAGGAATATGTTTTTGTTCTGATAGCATTTACTATAAATATATTAGTATATTTATATATAAGTATAATTTAGAAATGTGTAGGTCGCTGTCAAATTCCAAGAGTGTATGCGTCTTTCTCCACAATGCAGGAGGAGACCAGGAGGAAGCCAAAAATAACCATCATGGAGTCGGCTCAGCCTGGGAGTGAACCGCTGTGCACCGTGGATGTTTAGCCAGGCGCTCCCAGCCAGTATATGCCGCGCTTAGCAGTGGTACCGCTGGAGAGTACGAAAGCCCATCACGTTTACGTGAGCCCAGCACGGCCGGCCACGGCGCAGTGGCAGCAGAGCTGGAGCCGCCCCCTTCCGCAGAACCGTTGCCAACTCCTTAGTTTCACCTGTGTGTCGCTTTCAGCGTCATTCTGAAATGTCATCAGCATCAGCTTAGTCATACTTCAGCTCTCCATCAGCTCTTGTTCATGTTGTCCTCCATTGACCTACAGTGTAATCTGGAGTGCTAAGAGATTTTATATTAATTGGTGGGAAGCCAAAATATTCCTAATTATTGAAGTTTTTTAATATTCTGGAAAAATCTTAAATTTTGATGACGCATGTCTTTAAAAATGAACATTGCTTGATGCTTGTCAGTCCGCATGAGGCACCCCCCACTACACTTGTAGCGATGGATCTGAAGGTCGTCTGGACCTGGAATCATGCTAGCGGTTTGTTGGCTGTCACTGAAGGTTCTCCATCTGGCTTTCTCCTAGCATAGCATCTTTGGAGCACAATCTGTTTACCAGTCGCTGGTACATGCGCTTGTCATGGCTGCTGCTGTATATAGTTCCTGTTGTGTATGTTTAAATATGGCTATGAGAAACTGCTGTTTTGCCTTTGGATCGACCAGCTGTAGCACCCACCACCAATAAACCTTTGGCATTAGCAGTAGAGATGACACCACAGTCCTTTCCAGTGCTGCTGAAATGTTTTCTCATTTTATGGGTTGTTTTATTCCTTGGTCCTACAACCCATAAACACAATGGTTGAGAGCACAGTAGTCTGAACAAGGGCATAGTTTATTCATATCAGATTTTTTATTCTACTAACCAATTATACGCCCAAGTTTTCTTGCATTTAACCATTTGTTTTTAATATATCTAGATACCACTAAAAGTTGATGCTGTGTAGATTTCAGTGTTTTGGAAACCAACATTTTGATTTCGTATTTTTTTTTTTTTGTTGCTTTAAATAGAAGTTGGTCTGTTTAAATTGTGATTAGTTGCTTTTAAACTTGAACCTACTAAAAGAAGCTCTTAATGTCTGCTGTGTGGGTGCGAGGAAGGTGTGTGCGATTGATTAGTGATGGTGATGTTCTGACAAAACAGCCTTGTAGTTTGTGCTGATTGTCGTGTCAGTCATTAGATTTATATGCAGTCCCTGTAACAGTGCGTGCAGATTGTGAACATTTATATAGGACATTGGAAAATTAAATTTCTACTAAAATGAAGGAATCTCTTACCTCGAACAAAATGTCAGTCCAACAGTTGACGTGTGAACCAAAGTGTGTAAATATACGCTCTTATGCATTTTTATAAAGTAATACTGTAGACTGCTGCATAAAATCCAGATTAGACAGAAGACGCAATAAGTGCTGGATCTGAAACTGCTGTGGAGTGTCGCCATGTGTGAAGTGTTCTTGTGTGCTTGTTGTCCGCGTATGCAGCGTTTGCTACTTGTCCGGCGGAAGAGAGCTCCCTAAAGAATGTGCTTTTCATGTTGCCTGTCTGGAGGGAAGGTTCTCCTTTTTGTTTCATGAAACGTGTTGATCGGCATAAACTGACTTGTGGGGTGGGGGGATGGTGTGTCTTATGGCTGTGGAGAGTAATGCGCTGACGATCACGCTAAGATGGAGCACATCCTGTCATGTGACTTAAGGTGACTTCCCAGTGAAATGTTTATGCAAATAAAACTTGTCTCGAACAACACAAAGGTTTATGTGCGTTTCACTTGCTGGTACCTGGTTCTCAGCCACTGCACCCCCATTGTGATACACGGAGCCCCCGGCAAGAGCATTAAACAGAAAAACATCTGGAATGCTACACAGAATGGGATGTGTGGCCTTGGTCATGTAGAAAAGCTGAACACAAACTGGAAAGAGCAGGGGCTTTGTTTATAAAATGTTCTTATGCACAGATCATAGATTGTGCTTACGGCCAAATCTACGGAAGCTGAGAACAGCTGTGCTTGTAATTATTTTATTATGCTATTAACTCGAGAGAGAAGCTCATTTTCTCGTGGTAAGATAGATTATCTACATTATGGGTTGTTATGTTGCTCCTGGACTGGCCACATATTTTCATTTACATCACATTGATATTCCCCCTTGCAATATATCTAGGAAAAAATCATCTTACCACCCTCTACCAGTTTCTGCTGGGATGTCATCTCAAGCAGCATCCATTGCAGCGAGTGAACAAAAACAGTTGCATGACTGGTGACAAGTGGTTTCTAATTCTATCATCCAATAAAACCTCTATTTTTGAACTATTTCCCTTTCACTTCACCATTGAAGAAACCTGACAACTTAACATTTTTGCATGTGAGTACTTACACCATGCACACCCGTTTAAATGTTTTGCAGAGTAGAGGTAAACATGAGAAGCGTATAATTCATTTTGGCAACATGATTAATATAACTGATTTTTGGGCTAATTCAAAGTGAACATAGCTATATCCTATAAGAACCAAAACAAAGTCGTTTGTAAAGGAATAAAACAATGAGAAATTACATTATTGTGAGATATTGACTTAAAGGGGCAGCTCACCCCAAAACTGAAAAAAGACATTTTTAAGGGGCTTTAGTGCTATCTGTCTAAGCCAGGGGTGGTCAATCATCTGCAAAGGGCCGGTGTGTATGCAGGTTTTTAGGATAACCTGTAGGCCAGCTGTTCAAACCCAGGTGTGAGGACTCTTCAGCCAGTCAGTCCTCTAATTAGTAATCTAATTAGGGAGTTGCACAACAGCCCTTTCTGGATAAATTCACGTGTTTTTGCCCTGTTTGGCTTTACACTTACGACGTGTGAAATGAGCACAGAATGATGGGCACGCGTATGCCCACCCCTGACCTAAGCTGTTTTGCTGGGATTCGACTAGTCTTGGAGATATCAGCCATAGGAATGTCAGTCTTCTCTCAAATACAATGGGACCGGATGGCATTCTTGCTGTGGTGATTAAAGTACCAAAAAATACATTTCAAAAATTCAACAGCAATGGCTCATGCTACTCATGATAATCCACAGACTTTGTAGTAAGCAGTTTAATGTAGGAACTATTTTCTTCTACTGAACTCCACACCACTGCACAGAAGATAGTTGGGGTGCTTCTGCTCGCATCTTCTGTGCAGTGATACATTGCTATTGAATTTTTATCAGTTTATCAATTAAATTATATAGGTACATGAAAATTGTGCTATACACAGGGTGCGGATGATTCGCTGTTAAGCTTATCCTTTGTCTATCTGTGGTAGGTCTCGGAATATATCATCCGCAGCTATGGAGATGTTACTGTAATGGATTTTACTGGGCTTGTAAAAATGAGTTCGCTGCTATCGATGGTAGGTGTGTCTTGAGTGCACACTGTGGATGCAGTTGGCAGGCACTGCATCAGAGTGTAATGTTTTAATGTTATCGCTATTGAGATGCATTATACCATGAGGTCTCTATTGCTCTCTCTGATTGCTGCGTATGACTGATATGAAAGCGGTTTGTTGTTGTTCTGATGTGACTGCTCTCATCTGATACAGCGTTGCATTCTCTTTGTAGAAATTATTTAATAGTCACTAATATTTTATAGTTTCATAGTTAATTGTTGTATCATTTGGGGGGGGGAGGGGCAGAAGAGGGGCCTACAGAAAGTGTAGCCTAGGGGCCCCTGAACTCATTATTCCACAACTGCAGCTGGGAGGGTGGGGCGCGTATGTTATTTTGTGCATACGGTCATTTCTCTGAATAATACTTAGGCACAGAAATGATCTTACATCAAAACAAACAATAATAATTATATATATAAATAAAATTAAAATGAGGCCCCAGGACTTGGCGTGAATAAGTGGCACTTTCGTTTATTCCCACCAAATACAGATGCATCACCTTAAGTTCATTAATTTGCTTTAAAAAAAAGTGAGCGGCAGGGAAGCTCTAAAGCCTGCTAACTTCATAAAAACAAAACCACGCCTCAGTGGAGGTGGGTGTCCACTGGCACTGCACTGGGTCTTCTTGGTCCAGAGTGCCTCACCACCTGCTAGCTGGCTGTAGGCTGTGTCTCCTTCTCCTCCGGCATGGTGCTGGCAGTAACGTCACCATCACCCTGGGAGCCGTAGTCCACCCTCTCCAGCAGGAGCAGCATCTCACAGTGCATGGTCTGAGGGAACAAGTCCACGGCCATGGTGCGGACGGGCCTGAATGGCGCCCCGCGGACCCGGTTGGAGGGGGCCCTGCAAAGGCTGCCCGGGGGGGCGGAAGGGGGTCCAATGAGGAAGCAGGAAACACGTACAAGGGAGCAATTTCAAACCAGTCATTCTGGGTCATAACTTACTCAATGAAATTGTTCATGGCGGCCTTTGGGTTACAGGCTACGTACACCAGCCTCTTCAAATGTTCTGCTCTTCTGATGGCTAGGATGACCTTGGAGTCTAGATTAGAGAGCACAAGATGGACAGTTTTCCACTGAAGTGAAGGTCTTTCACCTCAAGAACTGTATAACGAGCATTTCCAGTTGCCCTCCTGTCCAAAGTTTGAGGCATGGAGGAAATAAAGGACGCTGTGCCTTCTGGGGCTCAGTATATAACCAACAGCGCCTATAGGGGGTGCTGTTTCTCATCAGGCAAACATACCTGCCACTATGGCCAGCAGGCCTTGTTGCATTTGAAATAAGCAAATAAAATTAAAGATTTTTAAGAACTAAACACTTACGTAGACCTGCCCGGGGTGGATCCACAATGGCTGTCAGTTTATTAGATATGACTGCATTGAGCAGAGATGGGAACACGTCTTCTGCTTTCCCGCAGTGGAACTCGACGTTTGTCACACCTGACATACAGACGTTACGATGCTCAGCAGGTACATGGAGAGTGACAAACATCAAGATGTTCTGAGCAGAATATCCAGGTTGAGTTACACTGGTACGGAAGGAAGGTGTCCTACCATTAATGTGAGCATTGACCTTGGCGTCCTCCACTGCCTCCTGACAGAGCTCAATCCCGATCACCTTCTTCACCCTCTGAGAAGAAACAACTTTAGTTACGTGAAAGGACAGGCTCTACTGCACCCTGAATCTGATGAACATCTAAATATGGTTCTACTTCGGACAGCTTAAAGGCCAGTATGGGCCACTAGTATTCAATTAACTATTGGAATGTGTATTAGAAATTCCTTAAACTCATGTTGAACAATTCTCAAATGATGACAACAGAGCATCATTACAGTATGTGTTCCTTCTCACAGGAAGGCAAGTTCTCCACCTTAGCCAGGGAGAGGCCGATGGTCCCTGTTCCGCAGCAAACGTCCAGCACGGTGCTGTCCTGGTCCAGCTGGGCCCATTCACCCACAGTGGAGTACAGCACCTCTGCAGCCGGCGTGTTGATCTGGAGGCGATGAGGACAGGAGACTCTACACACGTGCCTTTGCAATACAGCCCAATCAAGAAAAACCAAAGTCCTGTAACCAAGTCCATTTTTGCCACAGTGTAAAAGAACACCACTCATTTGCAGAATCAATTTGGTTCTCTGTCCTATTGACCGTACAGAACCTCAAGAATGAGCTATAAGTTTACAGATAGCTTTGTTAGTGGGCTGGATGGGGGGGGGTCCACACCTGGAAGAATGAGTGTGGAGATATCCGGAACTTCAGGCCAAGAAGCTCTTCGTGAATCCACTGCTCTCCAGCCACATGTTCACAGGGAAGGTCTTCAAGGTTCGGGGATGTCCTCGTATGGACCAAACATGGCGCTGTTACCTTGTGTCCCATACTCATCATCCACTTTACATTTTTACGCTACTGTACGAGGTGGTTTGGTACCTTTGTCCCTCCCTCACAAAGTAGAGGGAGGTCACTCCGCTCTCCTTCCCTGCTCCCTCTGTGAAATGCTCTCTGATGGAGCTCTTCAGGACGTTCAACTCCTCCTCAGCAAGTTTCTGCAATGCAAGGAGAGACCCATGATCTGACGTGAAATGGTTTCCACCATGTGATTTTCTACCCAACCAGACCCATAGAGAAATCAGGGGCCAGAAACACAACTGCTCTTAAGAGATGTGATTATGGGGTTTCATGCAAAGCTTTGACTCTACTGTGAATTAAAAGATAAATCATTCTGTTAAAGGCCACATATTATAAAACATATCTAATGAACTGGACAGGAACGTTTTCCTCTTCCATGTTCCATCTACAGAATGACACAGCAGCACATTCACTTAAGTCGTTGCAAAGCTCAATATTGGGATGCAGGGAAGAGTTGCACATTCAAGAGAGACCTGTAAACTGAGAGACTGCTGACAGACCATAAAGACAGCTGAGAACAGACACAGGACCGTCACACAGTAGACCTTCGATTCCATTCTCAAACAATTTCTACGACTGGAAAATCCTGCCATTTCTCCTTAAAAAAATCTCAAAGTTGGTCTAGATGGAGGCTACATGTCAAAGGTGAATGCAGCAGTCAGAGATCATTCCATACCTGTGGGTTGAAGAAGACCATGGCCATGATCTGACTGGTGCGGCTGGTGCGCACAGTCAGCTGTTTCCAGTGGCCTTCGTATGTCTCGGGGCTGTAAACAGAGTACTTAGTCGTCCTGTAAGATGTCCGAAGGAGAAGACAGGAGTCAGAATCTTTCATAAAAAAGAACGTTGCCACATTCACATGGCTGACTCCCATCCTCAGCAACACACCGTAAGATGCATCTGAAAACAACCTCCGCCCTAACTATGACCTC